GCCTTTGGCATTATCAGATCTGGAAGGTTTCAGATCCTGGTGTACACTAACACATTTGGCAAACTCCCCAGAAAGGATACCACATGTGTACAGCTTAAGAAATACTTCACAGCCTGTTACAACTTCCTTACATGTACTCAACGAATACCATCTCACTTTTACTTAACCATCATTAAAGCATTAGAATCCTCTCATATTCCTTCTTACTGCTGACAATAGCCTTTGTAATAAAAGTCCTATGCCCTGTTATGGATATAACATACCCAATTTTGCATAGACATGATATATTCTACATTCCCAAGGTACACATGCACCTCTTCCCCTTCCTCAAGCACATGAGAGGGTGGAAAACATTGATCTCTTCATATAGCAGTCACAGCTCTGTCACACACCTCAAAGTAATCCACAGATCTCACAAACATACCTCTACCAAGCAGCGCTAATTGCCTCCACCATTCAGTACACCTGACACTGACCACAATGCATGAGGATAATAAATTCTTAGACTGCTCTCATATCCCAGCTTGTTACTGACAATGACCTCTGTAATAAAACTCCTGCCCCACTAATTATATAACATACACAATTCTGTATTGAAAGTATGCATACTAGAGCCAGAAAGTACATGTGCAGCTTTTCCCATTGCTCATACACATCGGAGGGTGCAAGCACAGATCTCCTTATCACATAATTACAGCCAGGAAAAGAGAAGGTATGTAGCATAGGCAACCATTTGTATTTGTTTTCTTTTTTGTCCTTTTAGTTCGAATGTTGTTCAACTCACTGTTCTGCAAGAGAACAACATACTATCAAGCAATCTTAACACTAGGTTAAATTCAGTTTTTGCCATTGAATTTCCTAAGGTTTTATTTGTTTTTTCTTAAAACAGGAAAAAGTTTTGTTGTCATTAGGGGTCAGTAGTCATTTAGGCAGTTGTATATATCATGTCCCACAATTGGCATTCTGAGTCAACCTCCCACCAAACACACACCAGCTGTGCCCCACCAGCCTTGCTTTGGAGCATCTGCAAGCCATGCCACTTACCCATTCAAAGCATTCCCCCTCCAACCTGTCCCCCTCCCCACAGCAACTAGGGAACATGTCTCACTGAAGGCTTTGGCTACACTGGCGCTGTACAGCACTGCAACTTGCTGTGCTCAGGGGTGTGAAAAAACACCCCCCTGAGCGCAGCGAGTACAGCACTGTAAAGCACCAGTGTAATCAGCACGCTCGGTCGCAGCGCTGCAAGCTATTCCCCTCGGAGACGTGGAGTACATACAACGCTGCGAGAGAGCTGTGGCAGCGCTGTGAAGTCCCAAGTGTAGCCAAGCCCTTGAAGTCTTTATTCCCTGGTATACAAACATTTCTATTGCCTTTATTTCCCTCCTTCTATAACCCAGACTCTTCAGCCTGGAGTGAAAGACAACTATGTCACAGTAGAGGGTGCACTGGCAGAGCTGGGGGTGCCAGAAGGTTGGAGTGTGGGTTTGGTGAACTGGAAGAGATGTGGGGTGCTATGCCTCCCACAACTGACTCCCCAACTTCTCTTGCCATCCATCCCCATTAATCCCCATCCCTCACTGCAGCCCAAACTGCTCTTTCCCTATTCTACCACTCCTAATACGTACCATTGTCTCACGTCTACTTTTCCCCCAGAGACTTTGATTACATTTCACACACACACACACACACACACACACACACACACACATAAAAATGCCACTCATGACTTACAAATTGTAGCAGCCTCCAGTCACTTAGTCCAAAACTCCTTTTGTCTTAGGTGATGGTGTGTGTGTGGGGGGGGAGTTTGTGATCAACTCAACCTTAGATATGTTAATCGAGGGAGAATTCACAGCAGTGAAGAGGTCTGTAATTCAGCCAGCCATTAGTACCTTTCAGTTTAACAGTACAAGAAGAAGAAAACCAGGTTGTTGTTTTTTTAGGGGGCCTATAATTTGGGAACCCATCAGCAAAATGACCGCAAATTTGAATCACTAATGTGCACCAATTTCAAAGCAATCCAATTAACTGCTCAGTTTTGAGAGTACTTACAAGACTTGAATTTTAAAGCATATAAAATGGTGGTCATGGAAACCCTCTAGCTGATTTTTCCATATTGATGCACACACAGTGTAAAAAAGTACATTTTCTCATATATGTTCTCATTTTGGGTTCCCCAAAGATTTAGTGAGTACCATGCACTACCTGAGGTAAAACTCGACAGATTGAGACCATTTAGATCCATAGTTTGATCTCCAGCTCAAGGCAAATAAACCCACCACCTGGAAACTTTTTTTAAATGGCTAATTTTTGGAGTGGGGAGGGGAGGGGGGGGCTTATGTCTCTGTAACCCATGCCTCAAATGACTCCAAATTCAGATCATTAACTTACCCTACAGCTTCTTGAGGCACATCACATTTCAAAGGAATCCAACTACACATATCAATTTTAGAGGACTTAGAATGGTTGACCTTTAAACATATGACATGGTGCAACCTTAATTATAGTGGTGCCCCAGTGCCACTATAATGCAATGAAACTTTTTACACACAATATCTTTAACTGAATCAATTATATTTTATCCCTTTTAAGAAAATATTGTCATCCTCAATTCTAATAGAAGTTTAACAACAAAAGCAAAGCAGTCTAAAGGATAACAGGGCAGTGTGCATGCTGATATACAACACATTGAATTTACCCTACCTAAAGGTGTTACAAAAATTGCATAAAACTGGTACAGAGAAAAATTGTCTGTATTCTTGGTTTCTTATTGATTTTTGAATAATTCATAAAGAATGTTTGTGTGATCAGACATAAAGAGTATTGGCCTCTTTGTGGCAAATAGCTTCTCCATAGTGAGAACTCTTAGATTTTTGCAACCCATCTACTCTAAAGTGGTTAATTTCAGTTTCACCATTCCATTGCTGGGACAATTCCTATAGCAATAGAAAACTGTGAAGGCATGAATCCTGTTTTGGAATGCATCTGTCCTGACCAAAGAGGACATATAGGTAGGGATATGTTCACTTGTTGAGGTACCATTTCAGAAAAGTGCTTGATCCCAAGACAATTTTACTTACTTTAGAGTCCTACAATATAGAAATTACCAATAGTATGGAGTCACAGCTACTCTGTCATTGATCAGATTGCATCACACATCTTATTCAACTTAAAATGGTTAAAGTATTCTCTTGAAATAATTTAGTACTGAATATTAGTATTGAATTTAGCACATAGAAACACTGTTTTCTAGTGTATAAAGCACAGGACTGGGAGTAAGACGTCCTAGGTTCTGTTCTTGGCTTTGACAATGGCCTGCTGTGTGACTTTGGCCAAATCACTTTAGCTCTTTGTGTCTTAATTTCCTTTTTCACCTTTTGTCTATCTTATCTATTTAGATTGTAAATTCTTTGAGGCCATGGACTATCTCTTGCTGTATGTCTGTATATCTCTTAGCACAGTGGGGCCCTGATCTAGATGTGTATCTTACTTTCCTGTACATAATCATAGGGAATTTGGCCCTGAAGTCATTGATATCTCTGAATGGTCCCTTCATTACATGAGCATTCATCATTTCAAATCCAAAACTAACCCCTATGCCTCATATAGATCTTGCAGGTGAGTGACTTCATTAATAGGCAAAAAGCATATTCTGCTAATGGTCAAAATATGAACTAGATTATTTCATATTAGTCAGTGGCATCTTTATTATTAGAACATCTTTATTATTAGAAAGTAGATAATTCAACTGGTTATATTGTGTGAAGTGTGAATAAATGTTCCCATAGGTTTTATTTAATTTTCTCAAAGGACCAAAGGCCAGTCTGTGCGAAGTTAAGTACTTAAAGATGCCTAGCAAAATCTGTTCCTCCTTAATTATAGAAGCAAACAACAGTTATTAGACAATGTGGACAAGAGGACAGGCAACAATTATAATTCAGTATTTTAGCAATTTCCCTCCAAGTATCAATTATATATGAATGGCAAATGGCTTATCTATTTTGTGAGTTGGCAGCTCTTCTTTTGGCAAAAGAAGAATGTTATTGCATGGTACCAATGTAAATAATACCTAACCTGTGAAGTTTTCAGGCTCTATCAAGCAGCATATAATTGTTTTTCTGGCCTGCACTGTGTATCTTTTAGATTGTGAGTTCTTCAGAGAAAGGATTCTATTCTTTGATAACTTCTACCTGTAGTAAAGTGACATGTATACTTACTTTACTGTATAAATTATAAAAGTACTAAATAAGTAACAAACATGGGGGAGAAGTGAGGTTTGTATGGGAAAGAGGTAAAAATGATGGATGATCCATATAACCAGGTACCCAAAGGAGTGGATGATTTTAGGGCTAACTTTCTAAAATATGACTTCTTTGTGTTGCCATGGATTTCAGCAAATATAGGCCAGAATTGCCAGATAGAAAAGTTCACCCTCAAAGTCCATCTTTGGTTCTCAAGTCAATACACTATGTCAGGGAAATGTGCTGGAGCTACATTTTATAAATAGCTACAGCAAACATTTTACCAGCCATGGAAATGTTCCTCTGCTTTTTGTAATATAAAATATAGACAAATGGTAATTGTCATGTCAACATGTTTCTCTTTGTTTATTGATCCAAGACAATTTGAAATGTGACTAAATAAAACAGCATAATTTCCCAGCCCTTTGAGAATTACTTTAAAAAAAACATCCAACCAGATAGGGCATATTTTATAAATACACACAACGCATAATACACAGGCAGTCAAATCTGTTCTAAACAATGGTAGCTCAATATTACCCAACAGGATTATTTTCCCCCCGATACTGAAAGCCAATTATTTTGCACCTTGTGTCTCTTATTTTTAGTGTGAGTGTTATATATATACAAAACACACACACACACAATTGCCCAAGAGCAACAGTTTCTTTAAAGCTACCAGTTAGTAGAATAAATTTGATGCATTACATATTATACTTATGTACTCAATGTGTTGTTTCTTTTGCTTTGTTTCAGGAACATGGTATTCCGACTGACATGGGCTATGCAGTGGCTCCGCACCACTCTGGGGTCTACCCTGTACATGTTCAGCTTTATGAGGCCTGGAAGAAGGTCTGGGGTATCAAAGTCACAAGCACAGAAGAGTATCCACATCTAAAACCTGCACGGTACAGACGGGGCTTCATCCACAATGGCATCATGGTACATAGCATTTCCATTACTTCATAGCAATAATTCTTTAAGAATGACAAAAAAATCTATTTTACAAATGCATCAAGCTTTACAGTGTGCATTGAAATCCGTCACGATAGTGGAATTGTAAGGATGCCAAAACAGTTTTACCAGTGTGCAGCCAGTTTCCAAAAGAAAGAAGAGCAAAGAGTGTGTTTTGGGGTGGGTTTTTCTGGCACTTTCCAATGTGATTATCAGAAATAAAATGTACCAGTAGACAACCAATCCTGGACTATAATTACATACCTTTGCAATTCATTAAAATGTCGTAGCTCCATAGCCAAGGGTCTGACTCACTGCAATGCATAAAGGGTCTGGGACCTGCCAAAAGGGAAGAGAAACAAAGGTGCAATATAATCCTCCAGTCCACAGATACTTTGGTTGGGCCAGGCTTTGTGTTTAGATATACCTATGCAACTCCCAGAGCACAGGTTCTGAAACTATACCTGCGAAAATTTCATAGACTGTGCATTGGGGTGGGGAGAGAGAAAGCTTTCTACATCTTCCCTTCAATAGCACATGCATTAAAAGCCAAGATAACATAAGAATCACTTGGCCTATCACTTCAATATGCAGCTGCTCCTAGAATGGAACAAAGCAGCTGATGAACATCCAGATGCAACACTACACCACAGTTTAGAGCAAAAATGTAGAAGAATCATGTTCAATTGAAATGGTAAAGAGAATTTAGGTAGATAGAGGGTAAATTACACAAGATGGAATTTGCACAGGACACAGAATGGAAATCTTGACAGGTCAAGTTCTTCATGGTATACATAGGTAAAGTTCCTGTTGACTTCAACAAAAACCATGGACGTGCATTTAAGAGCAGAATTGTATCTAATATACTTGTCAAAAGTATATATTAATAACACAGAAACAGGTAACATAGTAGATTCTAACGAGTTCCAACATAGGACTCATTTGAGCAAAGCACTTAAGTATATGCTTAAGTGCTTTGCTGAATAGAAACCGTAGATTATTTTGTTTTCTGTTCCTTTGGACAGAATACAAAGGGGAGCCCAAATGGTAAACTGGCAAAAAACCTAAGTCAAAACTGAATAATGTCTGTGCAAGTACAGTACTGAACAGTATCACAGACCTTAGTGTTTTTCTGCAGAGTTCTGATGTACTTGTGATTAAAGAGTTAATGAAATAGCTCTAAGTAGTGGAGATTTTAGTTGTTTTTTTTCTCCATCTGCTGGTTTTCAGAATTCTGACGCACCATCTACTGATTTATGATTGTATGTAGAGCTGACCTCGGGATATATCATTCAACAGTCCTATCAGCCCCAGTACATATTTCACTAGTGGGGTCTAATCTGATTTTCAGGGCAAAGGTAGGAATGAACTAGTTCTTTTGGGGTCTGTAACCTAGAATACCATTTGTGTGCTATATCTTACCAGCAGGAAGATTAATAGCCTAAGATAGTGAAGACGACTGAGAAGCGCTTTGTCTTTTAACAAACTACCCTTGCTAAAAGAAAAGAAGCTCTTTTCTTCCTTTTACAAATCCCTAAACACAAACCCTGAATTCTTACTATGAGAAACATATGCAGTGGTCTGGACACAGGCTGTGGAACACACATGTGCTGCAACCTTTCAACTGGCAGCTGGAGAGCTCAACATCTGCATAATCATGCTTATTTACAATAAGACGACAACTGCCGGAACAAAGGAATCCATATGTGAGCGTTTCAGAATGCAGACTCAGAAGAGTTTTTTGGGGTGGGGCTTGCAGAAATAGGGTCATGACACTATAGCATTTTTTTTACTTTGTTCTCAGGTACTTCCTCGACAGACCTGTGGCCTTTTCACCCACACAATTTTCTACAAGGAGTATCCTGGGGGCCCTCAAGAATTGGACAAAAGCATCCGAGGGGGTGAACTCTTCCTCACCATCCTCCTGAATCCCGTATGTACCGTGTTTGCTATCCTCTGATGTGTTCTTTTGCTATCATTATTGGAGGTGAATGGGACAGAATAACCTATATAGTTTATTCAGTTCCGATAAATCAAATCTTTTTGCTCAGAGGTGGTGAGCATTTAAAAGGAAATAAGCAAAAACTGTATTGTAAGGAGTAATCTGGATCCCGGGTGATACAATTCAGAGACAAATGTATATATTTTTTCCAAACAGTATCTGTTTTCCAACCAGAGTTCTAGGCCTTTGGGAACAAGGGGACACTGAATATACTAAAGGGGACAAAGGAAAACAATGTTGATGGAGAAAACTGCATCCCCCTTCTTCCTTTTCTTCCTCTTCCCTCTTGTCCCCCCCACCCTCCCTCACCTTTGGCTCCTTGAAAGCTACACATCTTTCATCTCTCTCTGCTCCCACTGCATCCCTTAATAGAGCTAACTATAGGAACAGGTTCACATGCATAGAATATTCAGATCAAGCTGCTAAAGAACAGGCAACCTAACCCTCTGATGCCACCCACAGAAACCCCCACTCCACACAGCATGTAGCCTGCTCTGTCTGGGGAGTTAAGCCTGAACACAGGTAGAAGGGGAAAGAAGAGAGGAAATTAAGAGAAAAAATGGGAGCACGTGTGAGCGAGCATTGTCTGAGGGTGACACAGAATGCGGGTATGGTCATTAATCCATCACAATGAGGCTGCAGGATAACGTTGGGGGAGAAATAACATTATAATTATTTTGTTAAGGTAGTAACATTTAATTTTTCTGACACTTTTTTGTATGTAGTTTATAAAGAATACAGGTTGTTATGGTAGAAAGTGTCCTAGTCACTCATTTGGGATGATTTGCATAACTATCTTCTGACTTCACTTCTCTTGACTAATAAAGCCATCCCATACAATGCTAATAAACCCTCATTAATACACAATACTATCATATACATATGGCTCCATTTACCAAGAAATCAAGAGTGCAAAATTGTGTTAATTCAGGCATTGGGAGGAATATCCTTTAAATTCCTTTAGGTTTTGGAGACAGGAACCTCTGCCATGAGTTGAGGTTTTTTCTTTTTAGTTCTTTAAAGCAGGGTTTCTCAAACTCCATTGCAATGCAACCCCCTTCTGACAACAAAAGTTACTACATGAACCCAGGAGGGGGAACTGAAGCCTGAGTCCTCTATAGCTCCGGACAAAGCCCAAGCCCCATCACCCCATGCAGGTGGGCCAAAGTTGAAGCCCAATGGCTTCAGCCTCGGGTGCGGGACCTGTAACCTGAAGCCCTTGGGTTCGGCTTTGGCCCCAGGCAGTGTGGCTCAGGCTTCTGTCCCAGGTCCCAGCACATCTAATGCCAGCCCCTGCGACACCATTAAAATGAAGTCACGACCCACTTTGGGGTCCTGACCCACAGTTAGAGAACCGCTGCTTTAGAGTCAACTTCTGCTCTGAATTACACCCTTTTCAATCCCATCAGCTTTACTGGGGTTGGATAAGAGAAATTTTGAACCTAGTTATTAAATCACCTCCCCTTAATTTCTTTCCTGACCAAGGATATGCTTTGGGTCCCACCAGAATTCATTCCAAAGGATGAATACTGAGTTCCGTATATAACAGTCCATTGTTCTCCCTTGGTTGTGGCCAGAATCAGTTTCCTCTCAGCAGTGGAAACTCCATTGAATAGTAAAAGAGCACTAATAAGAACATAAGAACATAAGAACATAAGAACATAAGAATGGCCCTACTGGGTCAAACCAAAGGTCCATCTAGCCCAGCATCCTGCCTTCCGACAGTGGCCAGTGCCAGGTGCCCAAGAGGATATGAATAGAACAGGTAATCATCAAGTGATCAATCCCCCGTCGCTCATTCCCAGCTTCTGGCAAACAGAGGCTAGGGACACCATTCTTGCCCATCCTGGCTAATAGCCATTGATGGACGTATCCTCCATGAATTTATCTAGTTCTTTTTTGAACCCTATTATGGTCTTGGCATTCACAATATCCTCTGGCAAGGAGTTCCACAGGTTGACTGCGTTGTGTGAAGAAATACATCCTTTTATTTGCTTTAAACCTGCTGCCTATTAATTTCATTTGGTGACCCCTAGTTCTTGTGTTATGAGAAGGAGTAAACAACACTTCCTTATCTACTTTCTCTACACCAGTCATGATTTTATAGACCTCAATCATATCTCCCCTTAGCCATCTCTTTTACAAGCTGAAAAGTCCCAGTCTTATTAATCTCTCCTCATACGGAAGCCGTCCCATACCCCTCATCATTTTTGTTGCCCTTTTCTGAACCTTTTCCAATTCCAATATATCTTTTTTGCGATGGGGTAACCACATTTACACACAGTATTCAAGATGTGAACGTATCATGGATTTATATAGAGGCAACATGATATTTTCTGTTCTATATCCCTTTCTTAATTATTCCCAGCATTCTGTTTGCTTTTTTTGACTGCTGCTGCACATTGAGTGGATGTTTTCAGAGAACTATCCACAATGACTCCAAGATCTCTTTCTTGAGTGATAACAGCTAATTTAGACCCCATCATTTTATATGTATAGTTGGGATTATGCTTTCCAATGTGCATTACTTGCATTTATCAATATTAAATTTCATCTGCCATTTTGTTGCCCAGTCACCCAGTTTTGAGAGATCCTTTCATAGCTCTTCGCAGTCTGCCTGGGTCTTAACTATCTTTAATAATTTTGTATCATCTGCAAATTTTGCCACCTCACTGTTTACCCCTTTTTTCCAGATCATTTATGAATACATTGAAAAGGACTGGTCCCAGAACAGACCTGTGAGGGACAGCACTATTTACTGCTCTCCATTCTGAAAACTGACCATTTATTCTTACCCTTTGTTTCCTATCTTTTAACCAGTTACCAATCCATGAGAGCATCTTCACTCTTATCCCATGACAGCTTACATTGTGTATGAGCCTTTGGTGAGGGACCTTGTCAAAGGCTTTCTGAAAATCTAAGTACACTATATCCACTGGATCCCCTTGGTCCACATGCTTGTTGACCCCCCTCAAAGAATTCTAGTAGATTGGTGAGGCATGATTTCCCTTTATTAAAACCATGTTGACTCTTCCTCAACAGATTGTTCATCTATATGTCCGACAATATTGTTCTTTATTATAGTTTCAACCAGTTTGCCCAGTACTGAAGTCAGGCTTACAGGCCTGTAATTGCCAGGATCACATCTGGGGCCCCTTTTAAAAATTGGCGTCACATTAGCTATCCTCCAGTCATCTCGCACAGAATCTGATTTAAATGATAGGTTACAGACTACAGTTAGTAGTTCTGCAATTTCACATTTGAGTTCCTTCAGAACTCTTGGGTGAATACCATCTGGTCCTGGTGACTTATTGCTGTTTAATTTATCAATTTGTTCCAAAACCTCTTCTAATGATAACTCAATCTAGGACAGTTCCTCAGATCTGTCACCTAAAAAGAATGGCTCGGGTTTGGGAATCTCCCTCACATCCTCTGCCATGAAGACCAATGGAAAGAATTCATTTAGTTTCTCTGCAATGGCCTTATCGTTGTTGAATGCTCCTTTAGCACCTCTATCGTCCAATGGCCCCACTGGTTGTTTATCAGGCTTCCTACTTCTGATGTACTTTCAAAAAGTAATAGCAATTTTTTTTTGTCTTTTGCTAACTGTTCCTCAAATTCTTTTTTGGCCTTCGTAATTGTATTTTTATACTTCATTTGCCAGTGTTTATGTTCCTTTCTATTTTCCTCACTAGGATTTAACTTCCACTTTTTAAAGGAGGCCTTTTTGCCTCTCACTGCTTCTTTTACTTTGTTGTTTAGCCACGGTGGCTCTCTTTTGGTTCTCTTACTGTGTTTTTTTTAATTTGGGGTATACGTTTAAGTTGAGCCTCTATTATGGTGTCTTTAAAAAGTTTCCATGCACCTTGCAGAGATTTCACTTTGGACACTGTACCCTTTAATTTCTGTTTAACATCCTCATTTTTGTGTAGTTCCCCTTTCTGAAATTAAATGCTACAGTGTTGGGCCACTATGGTGTTTTCATGCTACAGGGATATTAAATTTAATTATATTATGGTCACTATTACCAAGCGGTCCAGCTATATTCACCTCTTGGTCCTGTGCTCCACTTAGGACTAAATCAAGAATTGCCTCTCCTCTGGTGGGTTCCAGGACCAGCTGCTCCAAAAAGCAGTCATTTAAGGTGTCAAGAAACTTTATCTCTTCATCCTGTCCTGAGGTGACATGTACCCAGTCAATATGGGGATAATTGAAATCCCCCATTATTATTATTGAGTTTTTTATTTTAATGGCCTCTCTAATCTCCCTGAGCATTTCACAGTTACTATCACCATCCTGGTCAGTTGGTTGGTAATATATCCGTACCACTATATTCTTATTATTAGAACATAGAATTTCTATCCATAGAGATTTTATGGTACAGTTTGATTAATTTATGATTTTTACTTCATTTGATTCTACGTTTTCTTTCACATATAATGCCACTCCTCCACCAGGACGACCTGTTCTGTCCTTCCAATATATTTTGTACCCTGGTATTACTGTATCCCATTGATTAACCTCATTCCACCAAGTTTCTGTGATGCCTATTATATCCATATCCTCATTTAATACGAGGCACTCTAGTTCACCCATTTTATTATTTAGTCTTCTAGTATTGGTATATAGGCACTTTAAAAACTTGTCTCCTTTTAGCTGTCTGCCATTACACAAATTGAATGGGACTCTTTTTTATTTGACTGTTTCTGATCAGACCCTGCATGTATTTTATCATTTTCTATCCTGTCATCCTCACTAGGACATAGAGATTCTCTATTAATAGATCCTCCTCTAAGAGATGTCTGAACCATGTGCTACTCTGCACCACTCAGCTTTCCCCCAGCCCTTAGTTTAAAAACTGCTCTATGATCTTTTTAATGTTAAGTGCCAGCAATCTGGTTTCATTTTGGTTTAGGTGGAGCCCATCCTTC